TATATCCATGTGTATATCAGTACTATTCACAATAGCCAAAAGGTGGACACAATTCAGAAGTCTACCAACGAATGGAGGGATAAACAAAATGTGGTAGATACAAATAATATCCCATTATATATGTCTACACACACACACACACACACACACACACACACACACACATACACACACAAACACCACATACACACACACAGATTTGTTTTTTGTTTTTGTTTTTGTTTTACTAGCATGGTATATTTTCATGATAGAAGTTGAAAAGAAACGTTTTGTTTATTACAAAGTATTATGGAGGGTTTTCCTGACATGAAAAGTCTGAAAATTGAGCATTCATTCTCTCAACAAATATTTCCTGATAGCACACTATGTATGGTTCAGGTATTAATCTCAGCCTTAAGGATACAGGAGTAAACAATAGAGGGGGAAAAAAGTCTATGCTCACATTTATTTTTTTAATTGAAGCATAATTGACATATTTTAGTTTCGGGTGTATAACATGATTCAATATTTGTATATATTGTGAAATGATCACCACAATAAGACTCGTTAACATCCATCACCACACATAGTTACACAATTTTGTGATGAGAGCTTTTATGATCTACTCTCTTAGCAACTTTTAAGTATGCAGTACAGTATTACATACAGTCACCATGCTGTACATTGCATCCCCAAGGCTTACTTATTTTATAACTGGAAATTTGTACCTTTGATTCCCTTCACTCACTTTACCCACCCCTCCACCCCCTGCATCTAGCAACCACCAATGGACCTCCCATCATATAAATCTGTTTTTTCTAAAACACAACGTCAGCCTTTTTTTTTTTTTTTAAAGGTAATCTCATATGTCAGATGGCAAAGGCCTGTTTGGTTGGCCGACTGATTAAATTGAGGCAGAGGGAGTTTGTGGTCCAGGATGAACTAGAAATTTGCACTTGGCTTAAGGTCATTGTCTCCTGGTGCTCCAAGGAAAGGGTCTACATTCACATGGTAAAACGGAATAGACCCACTTTCACTTCAAACCGGAAATGATTCTCTGTGTTCAGTCAACGAAGAAATATAGTGGCAGACCATTCAAAATAATACATGTCTTTTAAAAAACAGCACATGTGGTTGGGGCACTAATGTTTAAATAGAATGTGTCTGCTCTGGATTCAGATATTTCAAACAAAAAACAACTTTCAGTAGGAAGGCCCTACAGTAAAACCTAACTGTGAAAGCTGATTCAGCCTACCTCAGTCCTGGCTGCTTGCCACTTAATACCTCAGAAGTGAATGGTGTTGCCTCCACCATGGCAACAAAGCTTCAAAATTTAACTTCTTTAAAGCCCCTCCCTTGATAGTGTCTTTCAAAGAGACACCCCCTCGCTTTGTCGCTCTGCTTGGGTTACAGGCTGTCTTTTGAGAATGTCAAGAGGTTACAAGAATCAAGCACATACAGTCATGTATCACTTAACGACAAGGATGCATTCTGAGAAATGTCACAGGCAATTTCATCATTGTGTAGACATCATAGAGTGCACTTACACAAATCTAGATGGTGTAGCCTACTACACCTAGGCCCTATGGGATAGCCCAGGGGTGGGGAACCGTTTTTCTGCCAAGGGCCATTTGGATATTTATAACATCATTTGCAGGCCATACAAAATTATCAACTTAAAAATGAGCCTGCTCTATTTGGTCAAACATTTAATTAACTCACCCCTAATGCCTTGGCAGGGCCAGGCCAAATGATTTCTCAGGCCTTATACGGCCCACGGGCTGTACGTTCCCCACCCCTGGTCTAGCTTATTTCTCCTAGGCTACAGGCCAGTACAGCACGTTACGACAAAACACCAGAGTAAATCGAGTTCAAGATGAAATAATGTAATCAAGAGACCCAGTAGACATGAGATGTATGAAGCTGCTGCTGGTGTAACACAGCATATGTCTATAACAAATTTTATAAATAGAACGACTATAAACTACTGACAAAAATATAGTATAGCAAATATATAAACCAGTAACATAGTCCTGTCAAGTATGATGTACTGTACTTAATTGTATGTGCTATGCTTTAATGGGACTGGCAGCACCGTAGGTTTGTTTATACTAGCATTGCCACAAACTCATGAGTAGTGTGTTATACTACAACTAGAAGCCTGGTGCACAAATTCGTGCATGGGTGGGGTCCCTCGGCCTGGCCAGTGATCGGGGCCAATCTGGGCCATCTCACCCAGTCCCAATGGGGTCCGATTGGGGCCTGCCGGCTTGGGGGAGGGACTGTGAGAAGTTGGCTGGCCTCAGGAGGTTGGCCATAAGAGCACACTGACCACCAGGGGCAGCTTCTGCATTGAGCATCTGCCCCCTGGTGGTCAGTGCATGTCATAGTGACCGGTTGTTCGGTTATTTGGTTGCTTAGGCTTTTATATATATAAATGGCTATGACATCACTAGGTGATAGGAATTTTTCAGCTCCATTATAATCTTATGAGACCACCATCATATATGTGGTCCAGCTTTGACTGAAACATCTTTATGTGGTGCATGACTATACTTAAATAAATAGGGTGGTAGGTGATGAGATTGAAAAATGATATCTTGGGCTCTGATAATCCACCAATGAGACAATAAATGGGAATAGATAGTCTATTCTAGTGATTGAGAAGCTGATTGCTTGCTCAAATTGCGGTAGCCATCTGCCAAGATGGCCCCACCACCTTCTGGTATTCATATCCTTGTGATTGTCCTCCCCAAATATACCAGGATTAGTCTGTGAGGGCCAATCAAACCATGTCTGCCTGCTAAATTTGATCCATCAAAGATCAAATTGGAACCAAGCTTTGTATCCAGAACTATATCTATTTGTATATATTAATCATATAGAGCAATATAGATCGATGTAGATATGGAAGATTTGAGCCATGCCATATCCTTTGCAAATGCCGGAAGGCTCTATGAATTTTGTAACTTAAATCCTTCTATTTTCTGCCTTTTCAAGTTTGGGTTATTTGTATCAGTACTGTATTTTCAGATAATGTGGGTCCTCTATTTTAAGAAATGAGTTCCAGTCCTAAATTCACAAATAAAGAATTATTATAGTAATAGCATATTCATGAAAAGCAAATTACTTATCTTGGCGTTTAACATCCTTGTAACTATTCCTGTACTTTTAATGTCAACAGAAAAAAAGTAATGTCTAAGTCTGGCTGATACAGTAAATTAATGTTAATAACAGTTTTGACACTAATAGCAAGCGTTAAAAAGAAAAACCTCCCGTCTCTAAGCTGGGTTTCATTTCTTAAAAATCACCTCAGCTCGCTGTCACCAGACACCCCACCCCAGAATAATTCCAGCTACTATTAGTTGTAGTATAACACACTACTCACTGGGAGCCTGAAACTAGGGTCTACTACACAGTTTCTATGAAATGATATTCCTTCCCTGCCTTTGCTCACTCCATATGGAGAAAACACCCTCCCCCTTGAGTTACAACACCAGAGCTTCTCAGCAGACACATTTCTGAGTCCCTATAAGCACATGAATACCTACATGGTTTCATTAACAAACCACTAGCTATTTCTTCAGCATTTGAAGATTAGTTGTGAAACTGAGAACCACTAAATTACACACCAGATTAATAGGGAACTTCAGACTTTATGTTATAGAGACCACGGAACACCAGAGAACAGGGTCTGCACTTTGTCCTCATGTTGGTCCCCAGTACTGTGCACACACAAGGACATTCATACTGTCCCATGAATTCAACTGACCTGAGCGAAAATGTTAACATGCCCGAGGGAGAAGGAAAAGGAACCCAGCCCCTGGCTCCTCCACTCTTGCCATCTCTTTCTAGCCATCAACAAGGGTTAAAGCAGCCCCTTGCAGACTCAACCAACAGGACATGGATGGCCTGCGATATCCCCCCTCTATAATCACTTAGAAACCACTAGGCTTTCAGCAAAGTGTCTCTTCCCATTTCTCAAACGTTGTTCTTTTTCTATTACTAATTGAGTGTTTTACTTTTAGATAATCCTCTAATGAACCAGCTCAAATGAGCAGAGAGGCAGGAGTGACAACCCATCAATAAAATAATTAAAGCGAAGTGGATTTTGTTAGAGACTTCTCATGTCATAATAGGAAATCTAGGCTACTTAAAATCAGGGAAATTAAATGGAATCATTTATTTTTGTTTTAAAAGGAAGTTAGCTGTAAAAGTATCTCTTTCAAGGAACCCTCATTAACTCTGCTGACAATGTTGGTTATTTACTCTGGAAGTGCACATACAATAGAAAATACCAAGGGAGTTCAAGGTGGTTTCCAGAATTTTCTTTTCCCTTCTCATATATTTCATTCAGAATTTTCTGTAGAATTTAGGCAAGAGACCCTTGACAGTTTCTGTTTTAAGATTCAGATTGTGGCATCAGTCCCCAAAGACTTTTGTGCCAACATATACATGCTATGGAAAAAACAGGAGGGGAAAAAAGAAGAAACAGGGAAATCAGGGCATGATGGGTATAGTTGCAGGGCCAAATCCTACCTCCTCTCTCTCTCTTCCAACCAATGAAAGAGGTGAGTTTCTGGTAACAAAATCTGACCAAGGCAGCTGTTTCATTCGCACCCTCCTCCCCTGGTTGATCCAAGAGCCAGTTAGCCTTGTCTTACAAGTTCCATGATGCCACTGACTCAGTTCACCTTTATCGTCAAGCTTTGTATCATCTCCCACTGAGAACCTGAGATGAGCTACAGAACCAACCTCTGCAGTAATTACATTCAATGACTACCAAATGGCTTTAAGCTCTGGACAAGAGCTGGCTTTGGGTACTATTGGGTACTATATTGAGGGGTAAAGCAGGAACTAAATAGGGAAGTGACATGAACTTGAAGTCACTCAGGCTGACTGATGCCCAAAGTGGAGGCCACATATTGGACTGAGATAAGGGACACCCTTGACAGTTATGTGAAAAAGAAGATACACTGAAAACACCCGTCATCATGGGGCCAAGTGAAATAATTACATACCCATGCTCCATCTGGCCCAAACAGTTCTAAGAAGTTGCCAATGAATTCCCTTGACTTCTCTTCCCACTTTTGAATTAGATCATGACTCTTTTCTTCCACTCTGTTAACAAATTCCTTCGATCTTTCCTCCACATTCTTAACCTTTTCTTTCATCTTGTCTACCTGGTTTTGAAAGCGGTATTTCTTCTCCTGGTCAAAAAGTAGAGGAGGGGAAAAATGGATTTATCGGAGAGGGCATGAGAGAGGTCAGTCATTCACATTAATGGTTTTATTTTCTTTCAACTTGTGTTCTTAATCTGAAGAGTCCAGATGTTACTATTTCCCAAGAGCTGGATTGATGGGAAGGTACATCTCTTATTAGAAAAGTCACTTGTCACCCTGGCCAGTTTGGTTCAGTGGATAGAGCATTGGCCTGAAGACTGAAGGGTCCTGGGTTAGATTCTAGTCAAGGGCATGTACCTTGGTTGCAGGCTCCTCCCTGGCCCAGGCCCTAATGGGGGCATGTGCAAGAGGCAACCAATCAATCTGTTTCTCTCACATGGATATTTCTCTCTGTCTTTCCCTCTCTAAAAATCAATGGGAAAATATCCTCAGTTGAGAATTGAAAAAAAAGAAAGAAAAAGAAAAGGCACTTATCATTAGTCTTGTTCGATATGTACAAGTGAAGTACAACTGGTTTTAACAGTCTCTTTTTTGTAAATGTCTTAGTTGAATTTGATTATATAAGAGAATAACCAAAAAATATATATTTGCTCTTTATTATGGTTATATATTGGGCAAATATTCAACCCCCCCCCCAATTCTGCTGGGACTTAGCCAAAAAGATAAATGTACATAGAATGGCCCCTCAGAGGCTTCCTGAATATGCTGTTTCACTGAGACACTGTTAAAACCAATATGGGTTGAAAAAGTCGGTCATTTGCTGGGCCTTAGAAATTCACGTGTTATGCTAAACTTTTCATTGTAATGGTATTTTCCATGAAGCTAATTGAACTGCATTGCTTTCCTTGGTGGTGAAGAAATCTCTTATCCTGATAGCTTCTTTTTACTGGGGCTTTGTTTTTCTTATAGCTTTTATGCAGCAGTGCTAATATCTGTATGCCTGGAAGGCATTGTATGTTAGGCAAGTCACATGGCACCTCTAAGCCTCAATTTCCTCATCTGTGAAATGGGATCATTATCCCTACCCTAGAGGGTAGCTGCAACAATTAGATAAACTAATGCAAGAATGTGCTTTGGCACAGCCTGGCATTTAGTAAAAGCTCAGTGTGTGTCGTCTGTTTCATTGCTACTAAGTGGCCTAGGCATTTAATCCTGTTACTTGATGACAGTGGTATGAAAACCATGAAAATAACATGAGACAGGGGGTCCTCCCCTCCATGAAATCATCATACATTTTCTCCTAAATAGGTAATAAGCTTTATCATTTTTCTTCACTACACGGGACTGCAGTTCATTTCAGATTTCAGATTTTCTCAAGGCACCTGGATGATTGCAAAACTGGATCAGGAGTCCCTGATTTAGACTTTCCAAACTTCACTGCAGCCTCAGGGTGGGGTGTGAGCTATATGTGCTGCCACTCAGCTTTTTTAAGATAAATAAATACATATTTGCAATATATATCTATATTTGCTATATATATATATATATATATATATATATATTTGCTATATATATATTATATATATTTCAGGAAGGAAGGGAGAGGAAGAGAGGAACAGAAATATCAGTGATGAGAGAAAATCATTGATTGGCTGCCTACTGCACACCCCACACTGGGGATCGAGCCCACAACCTGGTCATGTGCCCTGACCGGGAATCGAACTGTGACCTCCTGGTTCATAGGTCGATGCTCAACCACTGAGCCATGTCAGCTGGGCCACTCAGCTATTTTTACTATATGGTTATTATAATGGTTCTCAGGGGCAGCAAAGAGCAGTAGAATGAGCACTGGATCGGGAGTCACAAGGCTGGGAGGCTGCTGCACCTCCACCTCTACTTTGCTGAGGGGCCTTGGCCAGGTATCCTCTGAGCTCAGCTTTCCTCATTCCTACATGGAGGGACTTGGACAGGGTGACTGACCCTCGGCAGGTTCCGGCCACCTCTGGGGTCCTGTGACTCATCTACACGCCCCTCCAACACATTTGACTCTCTCTCCAGGCTGCAGCCAGGTTTGTTGTCACAGAAAGGGCATGAGAGCATCCATGCCGACTGCACAGCTCCCTGAGCTCAGGGGCTTAGCCACAGGCCGCCTAAAGAGCGTGAGCGAGAACTTTTGGAAATGGCTCGACATGCTTGGATGGTTGACTGAATTCAGTTTAAAAGATCGGTTTAATGTCTTTAAATAACCGGGGCTTAATTCTCTATGAGACACCAAATAATCGCGTTGACTTAATTCTTTTCAGCCATGTATTCTGGTGCCACTTGAAGCTGACATTTTCCACTTTGTTGCCCGGCTTGCATGAAGCCACAGAGCCTGGCCCACCAACACACACACCCTGCCCCGCCCCCGTCTCGTGGGGACAACTAATAATCCCTGATTTACAATTAATGAGCCCTTCCGCATTGTGAAGGGAGCAGTGACCAATCTGTGTAAGCTACTGACTAATTATGGCTGTGCGTAATTCTAAGCATCTAGTTTTATGGAAAAATCCCTCTTTGAAAATACAGTATTTTGGGGGGTTGAAATTCTGGATGGATAGAGAGTTCTTGTTTTAATCAACTACCTGGGCTCCTTGGAGTCTAGGCAAATACAGTTGTCCAGACTTGCTACCATCACCTCCAGCAACTGGGCTGCCCTCTTTGCTTTTTAACAGTTTGTTTTGCTTGTTTTAAAGATTGTTTTAACAGCTACTCTATTATTAAGCTAACAGCAGCTCTGTGGGAACAATATGGCAGAAATACCCAAGGAAGCCAAAGACTTTAGGCTTTATTTAAGCAGCTGTAATTTCTCTGGACAAGAAAAAACTGTTTTTAAGGTGTCTGGTGAGCATCTGTGAGGTCTTAATAAAATGATAATTTAAAAATGTTAGAACAAGAAAGCGTTTTCTCTGGGTTTAGCTTTCCATCCCCTCTGCCCTCCTTCCTTCCCTCTGAGCAGAAGAGAACTATTTTTGTTGTTGTTGTTAATCCTTACCCGGGGATATTTTTCCATCGATTTTTAGAGAGAGTGAAGGGAGGGGGAGACAGAGAGAGAAACATTGATGTGAGAGAGACGCATCAATTGATTGCCTTCTGCCTGGCCCCCGACCGGGGCTGGGGATCGAGCCTGCAACCGAGGTACGTGCCCTTGACCAGAATCGAACCCAGGACCCTTCAGTCCAAGGGCCCACCCTCTATCCTTTGAGCCAAACCGGCTAGGACCAGAAGAAAACTCTTCCTTTTCATGAGAGCAGATCTCCCAGAAACCGTTGGCCCAGGCCTGAGAACTCTAAAGAGGTATATTAAGGGGAGGGGAGGGAAGTGAGGCAGTTCCTTTATAAAATGTGGAGCTCACTACCTGTGTGCCTTGGTTGACTTATGTTACCCCTTTGAACATTGGTTTCTCCATCTGTAACATGGGGATGATAATACATCCTTGGGTTGTTATGTGGATTGAAAACACCAAGAACACGGCGTGGCATATAGTAAGTGCTCAATAAACGGCGACAGTGGTGTGATTTGGTGGTCTTCAGAGGGTAAGAAGTGGCACACTTACATTTATGAAGCTGACATTCAGTTCCTTTGCTGTGTACCCTCTCTGGAGGTTGCGACGGGCATACACATCATAGTCTCGGACAATTCTGGTGATGATATCTGATGTTGAGATGCCTTCCGTTCTCTGCGTTGGAACGAACATTCCTGTTCAGATAGGAAAGGGGAGATTACGAGGAAAAAGTAAGGGGGACTTGGTTAACCCATCTTCTTTAATCCTCCTTTGCAGAGAAAAGTTGCAGCTCCTGCTGTGTCATGGAGGTTTTCACATCTGGCCCAGCTGACTCTTCCAAGGCTCAGTTCTGCATGCTCCTGTTCTCCCATTAACACTGAGTGTTCATCATCCTGGACCTGGATGCACCATGCACTCACCAAGCTCCTAGCATTTGCTCATGCCCAGCCCTTCCTTTCTGCCTTGAATCCTCCTTCCCTGCTCACATCAGCCACAGCATTCCTCCTCATCCTACAACGTCCAGTTGCCAGGTTATGCCTCTGGGAAGTCTTTACTGACACCCCTGGGCAGAATCCTCAACATTTAGGACATGCAATGAGAATGGTGCCCCCTGCGACTGCATAGAGCATCTTCCACTAACAAAAGTATTTTCAATGTCTGTCTTCTTGTAGAAAGAGAACATTCTGAAAGCACCTATTATGCCTTGACTGTCTTTGCATCCCCAGCACCAAGATCAGTGCCCCTGTGTCTAGCACAGCGGTTCTCAACCTGTGGGTCGCGACCCCTTTGGGGGTTGAACGACCCTTTCACTGGGGTCGCCTAAGACCTTCGGAAAACACATATGTAATTACATATTGTTTTTGTGATTAATCACTATGCTTTAATTATGTTCAATTTGTAACAATGAAATTGGGAGTCACCACAACATGAGGAACTGTATTAAAGAGTCGTGGATGCCGAAACCGGTTTGGCTAAGTGGATAGAGCGTCGGCCTGCGGACTGAAAGGTCCCGGGTTCGATTCCGGTCAAGGGCATGTGCCTGGGTTGTGGGCACTTCCCCAGTGGGGGATGTGCAGGAGGCAGCTGATCGATGTTTCTCTCTCATCGATGTTTCTAACTCTCTATCTCTCTCTCTTCCTCTCTGTAAAAAATCAATAAAATATATTTTAAAAAAAATAAAGAGTCGTGGTATTAGGAAGGTTGAGAACCACTGGTCTAGCACATGGAAGGTGCTCAAGAAATGCAAATTAAATGAGTAAATGAAGAGAGAATAAAACTGAATCAATGAATTAGTCAGATTATGGCAACTCCCCTTCTTCCCCAAGGAAGTCTGTGTCATGTTATACTGAAGGAAAAGGAGAAAAAGTGTTTTATTTTTGTTTTCTCTGATCTAAAAACATGTTTGTGGGGTGCTAGATGATTTTATCTCCCTAAGACTGTTCTACTCTGGATGGTGATATCCCCACTCAAAGACCCTTTCATTTAGAATACGTGGGACTGAGTAAAAAAAAAAAAAAAAAAAAAAAAGCAGAGGATGCCAAATTACAATAGAACTTCCTTAAAGTCCTCAGATATATATGGGTATACCAATACAGGGCTAAAAAGAGATCACAAATGTTATCAAAGACAAGAAGCTGGTTTGTGCTTACAGGTGTCAACTGAAATACTTGTTGGCAATTGAGATCTTTCTACCTGGTATGATTATGGCTACTCAATCAGAGACATCAGCCATGGGACGGCATGATGGAAAGAGTCTAGGGACCATGATGCTGGCTTCTTGGTTTGTAGATTTGGGCAAGTTTCTCAAGCCTCAGAAGGCAAGTTACTTAACCTCAGTCTCCAAAGCTGAGAAACGAGGTGGCTAGATAAGATGACCTTGGGCTCATTCATGCCACTTCCCTCTCCCTCACTCCTTATACCCAATTTCCTTCTAATCATCAATCTACTTCGTAAATGTCTCCCCAACTGATGCAATTGTCTCCATTCTCCAATTCTAAACCAATCTAATGCCATTTTTTGCAAAGATTACAGCAAGAGCCTCAATACTACTCTTCAGTGATGCCATTTTTTTGGTCCTCTCAGTTAACTCTCCCTATAGCAAGATCGCAGGGCAGTCTTTCAAAATGCAAGTCATATGCCTACCCAACAGCCTTCACTGGCTTTCTACTGTCCTCTGTATTTAATATATTTTTATTGATTTCAGAGAGGAAGGGAGAGGGAGAGATAGAAACATCAATGATGAGAGAGAATCATTGATCAGCTGCCTCCTGTATGCCCCACACTAGCGATCAAGCCTGCAACCCAGGCATGTGCCCTGACCAGGAATCAAACCATGACCTCCTGGTTCATAGGTTGATGCTCAACCACTGGGCTATGCTGGCTGGGCTACTGTCTTCTGTATTTATATTCAAATCCTTAACCTGGCCCTGCAGCAGCTTGCATTATCTGTTCCCTGTGCTTTTCTCCAGTCCCACCTCAGATGCTCTCCACTTCCTTCACTCCCTAAGCCAAGTCCTTGTGCTACATAGGGGTAGGGGGTACCATTTTAATTGTAGTCCATGGCACTGGGCAACAGTCTTGCCCTGCCTTGGTCCAGCCACACTGAACTTCAGTGTCCTGAAAGGGCTGGCCCCCTCTCTTTACTCTGCCACAAACACACTCCACCTGGTTGACTCTTGGTCATCCATTGGGTTTCACCTTTAGCGTCACTTCCTCAAGGAAATCTCTCAACCCCTGACTGGATCTTCCTGTTCGTTATTTCCCTACCAAGGTCCAACTAACTGCTCTTCTCCTTCAGTTATTCCAAGGTCTTTATAAAACAACTTGTTCAATAACTGCCTTCCCGACTTGACTATAAGCTACATGAGGAAAGGAACTGCTCGTGTCTCATTCTCTTCTATAGTCTCAGCATCAGGTGACAATTGAGCACTTATAGGGACATTTGGTGAATGAGTGGCTAGATGAATATTGATCCCTAAATGCCTTTCCAAATCCAGTTTTCTCTGAATCTATGGGGGGGGGGAGTAAATTTTCTAGTCTTCTGGCCCCTCCCAGGGTGTCCCTTTGGAGCTTTCTTTGGAGATCATCTGCATATTGGCAGTATCAGCAGCAGGGTGGCACTGCTGATGTTAAAGACAACACATCCGGTTTCTAATATTCTGTAGCTCAGAAGACAGAGTTGGGGTTCCCACTAGACCAAAAACGTCCTTTATCTCCTTCTAAAAAGGAGGACTCCAGAAAACCAAATGGAAGGCAGAGGATGCAAACATCTAAATGCGTGGGTATAAACAACACTCAAGTGACCCAGCTGTGCAGGGTGCTTTGGTGGGTGGGGAACTCTGAGCTGTCCCGAAGCAGGAAAGGGGGGACCTGAAATAACACCTTGGTGGGAGCAGCAGGGAGCCTTCTGGTGAGAAAGAAGTATGTGCCATCTTTCAGCAGACAGCTATTTCACTCTACCCATGCCTGCTGAAATGTTAAGAGGATTCTCTGGCTATTCATGGACTTTAACAAATCACTTCGACACTGGTGACATGAGCTCACCCTTTCTTTGAAGCCACAGGGTGAGGCCTCTGTGGCTGAGTAACTAAAAGTTGGCTTTGGGGAGAGATTTGCTTTGTCTGGTTGGGAGGTAGGTCTCTGAAAGAAGCCAAGCCCTCTGCTGCTATAATGAGGCACCCGGCTTCCTCCACATCCTAATTATTGCTCTGCTAAAAATATTCAGTAATGAGTATGATCAGAGAACCTTTTTTATCATGCTTTTCAGAATTGCAGCATTTGGTTATGGAGCTATTTTAAGAAGCAGCAAAGCACATGTTAATGAAGGGAACTTTCAACAGTAGTAGGCAATATTAGAATGATGATGATGTGGACCTTACAGTCTACTTCATTTAAGCCCCATCTTTTAATCCAGCTTTGCAGTAGGATTTTGACACGTAGCTCTGATAAGCAGAGTAGAGTACTGTAAACTTTAATTCATGCCCTTGATACCTCTGGCTTCGTTTAACGTGATTTCTGACATGCAAAGTATACCTCAAGTATCAAAGCCAAATGTGGAGGCTTAGGCCATTTCTGAGCATCTTTCTCCCATGATGAATACGCTGGCCTCCTCTACCTGGACCCTAAACAGATCTCTGCTGTGGGTCTTCATTGGTGAGGACTCAACAGAGCAGATCAGTGGATCATAAGAATGGGTCCCTGTGCATATGAAAAGTCACACATAGGCTTATGCCTGTGCTCCCAGGGAAAGTAAAATACCATCTGACTATTCAATTTGGAGATGAGAATTGTGGTGAATTAAACATGAGCACAGTTCCCATCCCCTGAAATCTGGGCTGGCCTTTGTGACTTGCTTATAACAAACTGACTGTAGTATCAATCAGCGGTCGCCAACTGGTGGTCCGTGGACCACTGGTGGTCCGTGAGGTCCGAAAGGTTGGCAACCGCTGGTATAAATGACACCAGGTGACTTCCAGGGCTAGGGCAAAAAAAGTTGGCGGCTTCTATCAAGATGGCAAGCCCTCCGGATGCCTCCTCTTAGGACACACACTCTTAGAACCCAGCCACCATGCTCTGAGAAGCCCATATGACCCAGGAGAGCCATGTGTAGGTGCTCCAAGGTCAAGCCCAACTGAACTCCCTGTGGGCAGCCAGCACCTGTTGCCAGCAACAGTTGGGACTTTAGATAACTGCAGCCCCAGCCAACATCTGACAACAGTCGTTTGAGACACCCAGCCAAACCCTCCACTCTTTTAAGTCACTAAACTGGGGCGGGGCGGGGGGGTAATTTCTAATGCAGCAATACGGTGCTGAATAGCATAGAGTTAGAAAAACGTTGGAGCTGTTCCTACACCTAAATAGCTAGAGTTGAGGTTTGACTCCCTAAAATCGGGAAAGCAACTTTTCTTAGCCCACTAGCGGTCATCCACCCAGAAGGAAAACCACCACTGAGTGCTTGTCCCTACTCTGGATAGTAGCTGAGGAACTGTCACCCTGGGATATGTTGGTTCCATTAATCCTGGGGGTGATCCGGGGTGAACCAGAATCCCTGGTCTGGATTCTCGCTACTCTAGGGGAGATCTATAGACCTGCAGCTTCTAACAACCTGGGGGCTTATTGGAAATGGGGATCTTGGGTCCCACCAGGCCCACTGAATCCAAACCTGCACTTTGAAAGGACCCTGAAGGGATCTGTAGGCACATTCCCAGTCGACAAGCACGGGTCTCTATTGGGTCCTTCAGAGCAGTGTTAGAAAAGGAGCAGCTGGCTCACAACTCAGATCTTACAAAGACTTAAACTGATGTAACTGATGCCCCAGTCAGTTCCTCCCCCTCCCAGACATGTTCCACAGCACCCTTGCAAGTCCGACGTGTATGGGGCTTCCTTTCTTAGAACTCCTTACAAACAAGATCAGGATTTGAAAACATCAGACCTCCCATTCTTACCTAATGCTTTTATAATTATTCAAAGTGTGTGTATACAACTTCTTTGAGACATCCTATATTTTACTGGAATCTACAAAAACTTATCCATGCTTTCTGTCCTCTGCATGTGGTACTCTGAGGATATTATTGTCATGTGACAAGATGATATACGGCAGGACTGGACTTGGCAGACAATGAGTCCAGATTGTTAATTAGCCAGTTATCTGTCGTCTTCTGGAAGGAACTTTCTTGGGAGTGTAAAATAATTTCATTGTGAGGACTTCATTGTGAATGAGGAAAATGATTGCCTTTTAAACCACAGGGTCCTGTGAGTTTGGTCTGATGAAGCCTTAAACCGGAAGTTGAGTACTTTGGGGCTCAGGTTAATCCCTATATAAATATCTAATTGGGGTCTGCACCATTTAGCACATGTGAACAGAGGCTTGAAAAGGCTACTTGGGAGACCTCTGAAATTCCAACTGGTATGTCTATACTGGAGACGTAGGGCAGATGCCGCACTAAACCTGATTATTGTGCCACAGTAGACAGGGGAGCCCAAAACTCCTCACCTGCTTCCTTTATGTGCTTGTAAACATCATCTGAGCCAGCAGATGAGTACGGAATGTCATCATGGGCCACAAAGTCAATCTGTTAGAGAGAGAAGAGTGATGTCACCACTGGGGTGGATGTGCATATCTGCAATTTGAAAATGCCTTTTTGAAATAAAGCAGCTGGAATAAAGCAGTTGAAATAAGCAGTTTATAATGTGGCTTGGAATCCTGGACTGAAAGGTATTTCCAACCATCTCCATGTCTGTGAGAGAATGGGAACTAGATTGGTTTCTCTCCTTTGCTGATTCCCCTTTCTCCTACCGCTGACAGTAGGTTTTCTTGGCCTCTTGTTTTTCTGCCTCTAAACTTTGTCTTTTAGAGAATTCATTCATTCTTCACACTTGAGTCACCGCTGCTATGATGAGGAACCCAAGTCTCCATTTCCTGTCCCATTGATGGCAATAGGCACTCACACTTAAGTGCCATCTTATACGGTATTATGGAAATGAATTTAGTCTGATGAATGAATTTTATCTCTTTTCTCATTTGATTTTTCATAACCAACTTGTGAGGTAAGTAGGGTGCATATTATTATTTCAGTTGGGACATAAGGCTGCTGAATCTGGAAAACTTATTAGATTTGCCCAAAGTCACCCTTTTCTCTTTTACTACCCCTCACTGTCTCTTTAAAATCCATCTACCTGGAATTTCATTCATCCTGAAAATTGGTGCCCCCTTCTAAGGGCACCTCCATTTTTCCAGTTCACCTAGGCCCCAAACACCTTGGAAGTGGCCTGCCTCACTTCCTCTCTGTTGCTACTACACTAATCCAGGGTCGGGTCACCTGATTATTGATATCAATTTGTACCTGACCTTCCTCACTACAGGCTCCTGTCCAAGTCATTCCTCTGTCACCTGGGGGATCTTCCTTAAACAGAATTTTCTCTGTGTCATCCTTGTGCCTGCTGACTTCACTAGTTCTGTTTCCGCCTACATCAAGTAAAACCTCCTTACCTACCTTTCAAAGCCCTTTATAACACACCTACACTCCACCTTGAGAGGTAGTTTGGAATAGCAGTTTAATTTGCATGGATGTGATTCTTGCCCCACCACTTACTAGCTACCTAACTTATAAATTGGTGGTAAAGATTAAATCAGGATTTCTCAAACTCGGTACCAGTGACATTTTGACCTAATCATTCTTTTTGGTGGGGTGTCTGTCCTGTGCACTGTAGGATGCTTAGTAGCACCCTACCATTTATCCACTAGATGCCAGTAGCACCCCTCTTGTTTAAGTGTTTAAAAATAATAACTGGCACACAGTACTCAATGTTAGTTATTATTATTCTTAGTACTCAAACTTAGTTCCTCCTCCTGTCCGATATATAATAATAACAATAACAACAACAACAACTTCTCAGGGTAGCCATGAAATTGAGTACAATTTGTGTAAGAGCGAAGGACTTAGCACAGGGCTGGGCACATAGTAAATACTCAGAAAGTGGCAGCCATCATCACCATCATGAGTACTTCCATAATGCCTAGCACAAGTTGAATATACAATAGATGCTTAATAAAAATGTGTTAGTGATTGCTGGAAGTAAATTATATTGTAGTTCTTCCATTTTCTTTTTATTCTTGCTGGGACATTGTCTCCTCTGCTATTACCGATGCACATTTATCAGTGTTCTCTATTCTCTTCTGCATGGTGAATTTAAAAATAGACAAGAAAACTCTTAGAACTGCTTAATCTTATTTTTTTGTGCTGCTTATAAAAGGAAAGAATAGCTCCTAATGTGGGTCTGGTAGGGAGATACAAAGCACATAATTTGATGCAAATCAAACGAATTTTTCATGTTTTCAACTAATACAAATCTTGGATCAGTAGGAGTCTCAGGGTCACAAAATCATAGATATAAAGTTCTTTCCCTAACGGCTGACCCCTGCCCTTCTGGATAAGATGTGTGTTCATTTGTTCCATGAAAAATGCTGCCTGTGAATCTATAAGCACAAATAATGACAGTGGTGATGGTGACGATAATGACATTTTTGGAGCTCTTGCTATGAGCCAGCCACTGTTCCAAGGGTTTCACTTAGATGAGCTCATTAGATCCTCAAAACAGCCCCAGGAGGAAAGCACTAATATCATCCCATTTTACAGTTTAGGTGAGTTCAATATTTTGCTCAAGGTTAGGAAGGCATAGAGGCTGGAGTTGGACCTGTTGGGGGCCTAACTCCAGAGCCCACACTGAAGAAGTGAGAGGCTATCAGTCCCCAGGATAGGGCAGGAGAGAGGGGCTCCATCAAGTGACACCAAATGGCAGTTCCTGAAGTCCCCTCTTTTAGGAATTGGTAGAGTGTTTGGGCTTTCTGGGCATTGGCTGCAGAGCCAGGTGCCTTAATTCTGCTACTTAGAGAACAGGGGAGAGTAAGTACCTTGTGTTTTTCCAAAAACTCTGGTGTGAGTGTCCATGGAGCATCTCTGATGACTTCGTCCACATAGCGACAGTGTCTGAGAGCCTCGTATCGCTCTGCTTCATTCATGACGGTAAAACCTTTGAATTTGTGGGTAAGGTCGTCACTGCAAACTGAAACAGGCAAGTGCATTAAATGCTGTTAGCTGGCCCAGGTAACCGAAGCAGTACCTATATGGCTTCTTTAGCAAGACAAAAGGAGCTCAGTCTCGCTAGGTGCTTTGCATAATCGAACTCTGTTTTCTACGGAACAAAGGCTCAGGAAAGGGAAGCAAGCTGCAATGCAGCAGCAATCAGAATTTCATTTCAGTGCTAATTACAACTGCATTCTCCGTGGTGGCTTTTATTAAAATTATTCTCCACACTACTAATGTGACTTTCATTTGCTTTTTATTTCCCTAGCCCATCCTTCAGTGAAAATTACTATTTAGAAATAAAATGATCAAATGGAGAGACAGAGAAGGGAGAGAGAGGAGAGGCATCAAGAGGCCTGAAGTATAGAAGGTTTGAATAATCAGTTCCAATTCCTTTATTAGATCACTGTACATAGTAACCCAAGTGTGACTCACGTGCGTGTACACGTGCCTACGTGCACAGCATACTTCTGTTTTCTGGATTGAGGACCAGTCCTGACACATCCAGCCACACAATCAAGAGGAGGAAGTCATGAAATACCAAGTCTGCTCTAACAGAGTTCATCCTTCCCACATCTTTATCCTCTCGAGATCTCGGGTTCCTTTCGAACCCTCAAATGGGAATAGTAATAACCTCCACTATTGGCCTTAGAATGGAGTTGTTGGGGATTTACATAAAAGTGCTTCAAAACAAACAGCACAATAAATACTATTCGTTATCCTATGCAGAATATCTTTTTTTGTTGGCAAAGGCAGCTTTCCGGGGCTTTACTACATGTCAGGGAAAAATGTCATTGTGGGTACAGTCCCTGCTGCAGTGGTCAGATTACCCCAACTGCTTCTTAAGATGAGTTTTTTTTTCCCCTTCAGGTAATATGAACACACAATAAATTTACAAATTTTCAGTGTATGTGACATGTTTTAAAAACAAAAATGTTAGCCCTGGATGGGAGGCTCCGTTGGTTGGAGCATTGTCCCATACACCAAAAGGGTGCACGTTTGATTTCTGGGCAGGGCACATACCTAGGTTGCAGGTTTGATCCCTGGTCTGGGTGGGTACAGGAGGCAAGCAATCAATGTTCTCAATCTCTCTCTCTCCTGTCCTCTCTCTAAAATTGATAAAACATATTCTTGAGTGAGGATTTAAAAAAATGCAATCACTTTCTTGGAACCAAATTATGATCCATATTCAGGACCAAATCTGGCGACAGAGCTGGTACAGCTTATGGCCATGCCTGGGATCCTTGGAAAAGCTCCTGTTGCAGCCCTCATACACTCCACATCCAAACCCTCAGCAAAACTGCTGGCTGTGCCTTCACAGTGGGGCTAGAAGTCATGTTGTTCTTACCACCTTCACTGCTCCCTTCCCGGCCCATTCCCCACCTCTCCTATAGGTTCCTGCAGTGGCCTCCTAACTGGTCTCTTGCACACCTCCTGTTCTCATCAGCCACAATGATCCTGTTAAAATTCGTTAAACTCTGTCATTCATTTCCAGGCTCAGAACTCTCCCCATTTCCCCCAGAGTAAAAGCTAAACTCCTCCAGTGGCCTACAGGCTCCTCCTACAAGAGCCACAGCTCCACCCACTCCCTGCCTCTTTGACTGCATCTTTTATTTCATCCCAGCCCCTGACTTCCTTGCTGTTTCCTGAAGCCACTGGAATACTCTTTAGGTCAGGGCTTCACATTTTCTGTTCCCCAAATCTGGACAGCTCTGTTACAATTATCCATAGGGCTCCTTCCCTGTCCTCCCTCAAGTCTTCCCCGACCATCCTATTCTAAACTGTGACCCCACCACTGCCACGGGCAGTCCCAATCCCCTCCCCAGTTTACTTCTTGCCATAGAGCTTGTCATCATATAATTGTCTTATTTAATTTTGTTTATGGTTGGTGTTCTTCTACTAAAATATAAGCGCCCTGGAAACAGGGACTTTTTTGTCTCTTTTATTTTCTGATGACCCATAGTAGGCTTATAACAAATATTTGTTGAATGAATTAACAGTGCCTGATATATATAGATTAGAGGTCTGGTGCACAAGATTCGTGCACTGGAGGCGGGGGGGGGGGGGCGTCCCTCAGCCCAGCCTGCACCCTCTCACAGTCCGGGAACCCTCTGGGGATGTCCGCCTCCTGGCTTAGACCCAATTCCCAGGCAGTGAGACATCCCTCTTGCAGTCCAGGGCTCTCACAATCCAGGACCCCTCGCTCCTTACCACCCGCCTGCAGCAGAGGCAGGAGAGGCTCCCACCATCGCCGCAGTGCTTGCCAGCTGTGAGCCCAGCTTCTGGCTGAGCCGTGCTCCCCCTGTGGGAGTGCATTGACCACCAAGGGGCAGCTCCTGCATTGAGCGTCTGCCCCCTGGTGGTCAGTGTGTGTCATAGTGACCAGTCATGCCACCATTTGGTCGATTTGCATATTAGGGTTTTATTATATAGGATGCTCAATAAATGTTTACTATGATTTAAAATAATAGATGTATATCTGCAGGCACATTTCAACACCATATATGCAAGTAAGAGGCCAGTGGATCTCTAGATACACATGTGTATGCCTATATATCTCCTATACATATTTCCTTAGATGCTGCATAGACATATATAGAACACAATAGAGAAAACAGTATAGTGGTGGTTTATATTACTGTAACACCATCGGCCACATGGCTGACTTGAAAACCTTGATTACTATCAGAACTATATAAAGACATTGTTAAATATAAAGATGAGTGGGCCCCACATCCCATGATTTTGACTCAGGGGGTGCTATGGTCTGACTGTGTCCTCTCCGAATTACTCCCAAAGGTAATGATATGGGAGGTGGACCCTTCAGGGGTACAAAGGTTATGAGGGTGGATTAGTGTCTTATAAAAGAGGCTCCAGAGAGCTCCTTAGAACCTTCTACCATGTAAGAAAACAAGAAGGTGCCATCTATGAATCAGGAAGAGGCCCCTCACCAGAAGGAGACCATGTCAGCACCTTGATCTTAGGCTCCCCAGACTCCAGGACTGTGAGAAATAAACTTCCGTTGTTGTTAAGCTACCCAGTCTGTGGTATCTTGTTGTAGCAGCCTGAACGAACTAAGACAGTGGGTCTGGAGTGGGGTCCAGGCAGCTCCATTTTTCACAAGTTTCAGGGAAAATTCTGATGCATAAAACATTTGAAAGTCCCTGAAGTATATTATGAACATCTTGAGTAAAGAGCCCAGCCTGTTTTTTAATCACCCATCACGCCTAGCTGTCGCGGGGTGGGGCGGGGGACAAGGAGTAGGGCCATAATGACTATGTTATGTGTATTGATTCACTGACTGTGTTAGCTTTTGATTCCCTAAATAGGAATCATTTATGAGCCAAGCTATACAATTTAAAAATTGATCTAAGACTTTAAATGTTCTTTTAGGACTTGACTAAACTACTACCTCAGGAATCATATTGAGCAGAAATGGATTTCAGATCCATCAATTTTCTATTTTAAAGAATACAAAACTAGCCCTAGCCAGTTTGGCTCAGTGCATAAAGCATTGGCCTGCGGACTGAAGCGTCCTAGGGTTCGATTCCCATCAAGGGCACCTACCTCAATTGCAGGCTCCATCCCCAACCCTGCTGGAGGCAACCAATCGATGTGTCTCTCTCATATAGATGTTTCTCTCTTTGTCTTCCCCCCCCTCTTCTATTCTCTAAATATCAATGCAAAAATATCCTCGGGTAAGTATTAATAACAACAGCAAAAAAGAACATAAAATGAGGCTGGGTTATATCCCACCCCCCTTTTGAACCTGCACCTGAGTAATTTGGTATAACTTCTAGGTGGCCGAGGTAATGGCCTCCTGACCAAGCATAGAGAAAACAAACATCCTGTTTATGCCAATACAGGGTCCTATTTTCATACCCCACAAGTGACCTCAAGAAGCAGCTGAACACGCTGATCAGTTATTGTCTAAACATTAATTACACCCAGAGCAGCACTGTTGTTCTTGAGTCTTGGCAAATGCACTCTGACAACCAGATGGAGAACTCGGAGCCATGGTGTTCCATGGATGAATGCACTGAGCCTATCTGAGAGCTCACTGTACTCAAAATATTACCAGTACCCCTAAACTTATTGGGTGATCACTTCATAAGATATGTTAATGTCTAATCACTAATTGAAGTATAATTGAAAAATATATTTTTTTTGAAAAAAAGTTTTAAATTTAAAAAAATATATTACCAGTACCTCTCAGGAGAAAAAAAAATATAACATAGGGGTTGGACTTTGGATTTGGTTTGGGTTCTAATGCTGGCTCTGTTGTCCCTGGTAAAGTTATTCAAACTCTTTAAGCCTCAGTTGTCTGTCTTTAAAACATGGCAAAGTTTTGAGAATTAAATTTGATCATCTGTATGAGCTCAGTAACGTTTGCCATTTCTTTATTTATTTTTAAATATATTTGTATTGATTTCAGAGAAGAAAGGAGAGGGAGAGAGAGATAGAAACATCAATGATGAGAGAGAACCATTGATCGGCTGCCTCCTGCACACCCCACACTGGGGATCGAGCCCACAACCTGGGCATGTGCCCTTGACGGGGAATCAAACCGTGACCTCCTGGCCCATAGGTTGCCGCTCAACCGTCGAGCCACACCGGCCGGGCTGTCATTTATTAATAGTAGTAGAAATATAGGACCACTGATGGCAATATTCATTTGTGTTTTGGGCTCTGTCTTTGCCCTGTTCCCACTCCAAGCAGGTCTCCAGCTTCATGTAACAGCCCCCCCCCCCCCACACACACACACACAAAAGTTGTGAAGTTCATGTTGCTGGCAGATAGCATGCCCTTCTGGCTACTGTTTCCCTACAGCCAGAGATCCTTGGTGGGTTTCTGTAAGGAAGAAGACACAGAGAGAAGATTCCTCCAAATGAGGAGGAATTCCTCCAAAGGTCTGTGGAGCCCAAAGCAGCAGGTGCTAGCAGCAGGGCCTCTGGGAATGAGGGCCATGCTGCCCTGAGCACTGGGTTCTGCCTGGGCACCGACCACAGGTGCCTCACCTTGTACAGTGGACCTGGTCCCTTCTAATCATTTTGTGGGCTTGGATGATACGGGCAGTGCAAAAATAGTGCTGGGCTGAAGACTAGAAGCCCCTCTCTTGTTTCTGTAAATATTTTGAAATTTTGTTTGACTCTGGGGAGCTGAAGAGAGCCCAACAAGGACCAGACTGAATTTCCTACCAGTCAGGCAAAATGCGGTCTCCGAGGAATATTTCATTTCAATTAAAATACCATAGAGCACAAACCCACATTTATGGGGCAATGTTTGTGTCTGCTATAGTCCGAGTAGCACTGGGTTTATTATTGTCTCTTATTCCCCTCCTGTGAGGCAGAAATGGGGATTTGGTGACTCAAATCCTTAAACAATTAAAACAAACCAACAAGCTCTCCAATATAAATGTTAATTTCTTGACTTGTTTTTAAATGACTGGTTTTAAATTCAAATGGAGAAAACAGCTTTACAACTGGACAGTTTTGATTCGCTAAAATAATACCAGCAAGATAAGCTTGCATAAAACCATTTTGTGCCTGTTTCTATGTACTAGGTAGATCTGCTACGTTTCCCAGTGTTGGCAGGGTGGCCTTATGTGGTAGGTGTCCAGTGGGACTGAGTGGTGCAGGCCCTTTGATCCCCTAGCTGGGTGCTCCGGGAATGTCCCTTGTGTGGGTTAGGTGGGCCCTCCTGTTGTAACTGAGTCTTGATTTCTATTGGCCCGTTCATGTGTGGGATCGACCCTCAGGCTGGCTGGCTGTGAGGCTCAACCCTGACCACAGTGTGCAAGCTGCTGTGTCGCTACTGACTACACTCAGTGGAATTCGTCTCAGCAGGGTCTGGTGCCTGTCAAGATCTCCCTTTGGATATACTGTGTGCAGAGCTTATTGGATCCTGCTCTGATGTTATCTGAAGCTGGCCACTGCGTGTGTTGGTTTCTGGGGCCTCTTGGGAGGGACTCTGGTGCAGGCCAATGCAAGACACTGCCTGTGACTGGTCCTTGGCAACCTGTTTGGAACTACAAGTGATCCACAGTTTGTGGCTGCCTCTGCTTGGCCTGGGTGCATGGAGGAAGGACCAAGCTGCACACTACGGCTAGCTTTTACCAGCACAGGGCCCAGGGCACCCCAAAGCACCCCAAGATCCACCTCCAACTGTCGGCTGCCTGTTAAGCTCAGGCATTGAAAGAACCTCTGGCTGTATTCCTCAGCAGGGCATAAGCTCCATGGGGTGAGTAAATTGCTTTCAAGTAAAAGAGTAAGGGTTATAATTAAGAGTCATGTGATAAGTCTTGGTAAAGCCTTTTTCTTATACTTCCCAGAAAGGGAGAAAGCAAATAATTCTAATAGCTTGGTAATAAATCTTTTTGTAGGTCAGGTCATTTCATATCCATAGCTTCCAAGAAATTTGAAAGGAGATCTCAATAAACTGTCACTGGATAGACAATTATTTTTTATGACAATAGAAATAAATTATTTTTGTGACATTTGGAAAATAACTCATGAATTCAATAATTGAGTGGCATCGTCGTAACAAACTTCTTTCATTCCCATCTAAATATTTGTGTGAACAAAATACTTCAGCACTTACATCTATAACAAGAAATCCTATATAATAAAAGGGTAATATACAAATTGACCGAATGGCAGAACGACTGGTCTCTATGACGTGCACTGACCATCAGGAGGCAGACGCTCAATGCAGGAGCTGCCCTCTGGTGGTCAGTGTGCTCCCACAGGGGGAGCACCGCTCAGCCAGAAGTCAGGCTCAGGGTTGGTGAACACAGCGGCGGTGGGGAGGGGCCTCTCTCCTGCCTCAGTGGCAGTGCTAAGATGTCTGACTGCGGCTTAGGCGGGGAGTGGGCCTAAGCCATCAGTCGGACATCCTCCAAGGGCTCACAGACTGTGAAAGGGTGCAGGCTGGGCTGAGGGGACCCCCCCCCCAAGTGCACAAATGTCATGTATTGGCCCTCTAGTATAGGAATAAAACCAATGTTAAACTATGTCTCATTCTAGCAATAATAAATTCATCCACAAATAATGAGATCCGCTCATCTCATTTGACACCAAACAGGTTAAATGTCAAAGAAAACATTTCAAAAGACACCAGAAGGGGGGAAAAACACCTTACCAATTAGAAGTGCAAGGTTAAAAATTATATTGGACTTCTCCCCAGAAACAATGCAAGCAAGAAGAGAATGGAGAAATATTTACAGGGTTGAGAGAAAACAACCTACCTACCCACCTAGAATTCTGTACCCTGCAAAATTATCCTTTAAAAGGAAAGGAGAAATAAAGACTTCCTCAGACAAACACAAATTAAGGAAATTTGTTTCCAGTAGACCTGCTTTGCAATAAGTGTTTTAAAAAGGTCTTCAGAGGGGAAAAAAAGTTCTTCAGAGAGAAGGAAAATGATAGGTTAGAAATTTGAATCTACATAAAGAAAAGAAGAACATTAGAGAATGAATAAGTTAACTTTTATTTGTCTTATTATTAATTCATCTAACAGGTAACACTTTGTTCTGAATAATAACAGCAAGAGTGTAGTCAATCATGTATGACATATATATGCTTATATATAAGTGAAATGAATAACAGCAATAATTCAAGGGATAGGAAGGAGGAATTAGAAATATTTTATTATTATAAGGAACTTGCACTTCTGGTATAGTGTTATTTGAAAGTGGACTTGGCTTAGTTAGAATGTATATTGCAAATTCTAAGTCAACCACTAAAAAAATGAAAAAAGAAGTATAATTGATATGTTAAGAAAGGAGAGAAAATAGAAGAATGCCTGGCACATAGTAGGATCTCAATAAATAGTTAACTATTTCTTTAACACACTGTTTATAAATTCAACGAATTGAATATAGGCCACTAATGTTAATACATCATTCTCAGCGCTTTGGGTCACACAAAGGAAATAGATAATGATCTTGTTTAACCTTAATCATTCTGAACCCCTTTCAGCTCTCCAAGATTTGATATCCAAATAATATTGCTTTTCTCCTAACCTTCTCGAAAATTTTAGAAACATAAATTGGATCAAGTCTCAAACACAAGAAGAAAAGCATTCATGGAAAACAGGAAGCAGCCCTAGCTGGTTTGGCTCAGTGGATAGAGTGTCAGCCTGCGGACTGAAGGGTCCCGGGCTCGATTCTGGTCAAGGGCAGTTATATCGGTTGCAGGCTCAATCCCCAGCCATGGTTGGGGTGTGTGCAGGATGGGGGTGGGGGTGAGCAACCAATCGATGCATCTCTCTTACACGATGTTTCTCTCTCTGTCTCCCCCCTCCCTTCCACTCTCTCTAAAAATCAACGGAAAAATATCCTCGGGTGAGGATTAATGGGGGGAAAAGAAAGAAAACATAAAGCAGTTACCCTGTCTCTCTCTCTGGGGATTAGTGATGTATAAACCACATGTTATAATCCCATTTCAGTTTTTGAAACATCATTTTAAATTTCAGACAGCAAACTTGTGAGTCAATATGGGCTAAATTGGAAGCATTAACAATGTGAAATTTTAATAAAACTCTGAAAGGGGTCCTGTATAGGAAGCACATTATAAAGGAGTTTTCTAGACAAAGAGAAAATGCACTTCTTACCTCCTACTAATAAGTAGCTGTTGGGAAACAGTGTTTTTGCTTGCATAAGTGCCCTTGCGTGGCCTGAGTGGAAGAGGTCAAATATCCCATCGGCATATACTCTGACGGGTCTGTCAACTGTGGGAGAAAGAAAGCATCATCAACAGAACTGCAGAATAGCAAATCCCAGTTACCTGATTCTCCCATCAGTATGGCACTGCAGGAAGGTTTACCTGGATAAAAACACAAGGTCTACGTACCATCAATTTCATATTAATGCAGGAAATTAATTTTACAAAGAGGTTCTTGTGAAGAGATCAGAGCAGAGTAGAAACATAGCAAAATTAAGACTGACCCAGAACACACACTTTAAGGCAACAGGAAAGACAAACACAGAGCACTGGGGACTTCTCTTGACCCAGAGTGGAGTCTTGGGAGTCTGAGCCAGCACATTCAGACAGACCAGGAATAACCACAGGGTTGGCAGAGTCAGTCCAGTGTCGAGGAATGTCGAGGCAGGAGTAACGGAGGAGCTCAATGAAAAGGACAAATGACTTCATCCTTGAGTCTGGCAGTCTTGAATGAAGACCCCTGAGTCCTGTTCCCAGAGACAGTGTTGTGCAGGAGTAGCTCATACTGCTCATACCAATCACACTGGCAGCCTGCAATCAGTCTCGGTAGGAATATTTATACCACAGAAATTAGCAAATGCTACCAATCAGGGGCTTACTAGTATGTCCCTCTGGAGGGCCAATTGTTAAGCATTTACCAGCATACTACTGCACAAGGGTCACTCCCTAATCTCTTTGGTATCCATGAGAGATGTGGGAGGGGGATGCACATGCCCCAAAGAGAAGAGAATCAGCATACAAAAGTTACATGTGGGGGTGGGCCTCAGGGTTGGAGGCAAGCGACCAACACTACGGTTCTGCCTAAGGAGAAAGGACAAGAGTGAAGAGGCCACAGCAGACACTCTGACAATGGCATACAGAGCCCTCAGAAGTACCATTCCACGAGGAAGAGGGACTCACTTCACCACAGCCCTCTGGAAGCCAGGAGACTGGCCATGCAGGCTAGCAAATGCAGGATGACACTTTTGTGTCATCCCAAAGACATATCCCCTCAAAGAAGAGGGCTCTATTGGGGTTATGGGGCTTGGGTGCCAACTTTTACACCATTCTGGACTCACAACGAAAGAACTACAAAGTGAAAATATGGCAAACTACAAGCTAAATATGGCAAACTGAACACACACACACACACACACACACACACACACACACACACACTCCTCCACTTCCTCCCAAACACAAGAATTACAGAGAAAAAAATGGAAAAGGTAGAATACCCCAAGGGCAGAGGAAATAAGGAAGGCAATGACAGTGAATGAGAGCGGTCCATAACATTTTGGAAAGTTGGTTTTCAAGTGCAGACTGCCTACGGGTAGCCAGGCTCCGGAGTGGGGCATGTAGGCAAAGGGACTGCTGGTTTGTGTTTGTTATAAGCCTAAGAGTCTTATGGACTTTTTAAACTATGAGCATGAATTATGTTAATTCTATAAAAATACATTTTAAAAAAGAAATCCATGCAAACTTTGGTTGAGTGATCCTTAAGACTTAGATTTAAAGTTGTGATTATTTCTTGATGTGGTACAAACTCATTAATTTGGAACATAAATGAAAAGAAATGTTACATTAATAGATTCAGATGGTAAAATATTTCTAATAAATTTAATTTCTCTAATAAAAAATCTTGAGGCTTTATGTCAGACAGGGAATTGCAATTATGTCCAATTATATACCATTTTGAACAAACAGAATTGCCTTCACAGGATTATCCTGTATTCTAAATAAGGCACAGTAAATAGAAAATGCTTTGAAATAACAAACTGCCTAATGAGGGATCCTTGGTTTCAATGCTCTTATTCAATTTGATTTCAATTGAGGAAAATTTGTTTTAAGTTGTAAACCCCAGAGGAAAGCAGATGGCAATTTTGCAGAACTTTTCCTTATTGATTCAGAGGTGATCAAGATAAATGGATTCAGGAAGCAGGGAGGGAAGAAAAGTAAAGAAAGATGGTATAATTACCGAGAAAAAGGCCATTTAGGAAATCTTTTAACAGTATTTGTGCAGTTGATTTTGCAATAAGTTCACGTTTACAACTGTAATGTGTCAGCAGTTTCCAGACTGGGAAACTCTACAGGACCAAAAGAAAAGAAAAGAAAAGAAAAGAAAAGAAAAGGAAAGGAATCCTGCCTCTTCAACAAATAAACTTCAAGAAAAAAAAGAGAAAGAGAAAAATGGAAGGAGGACCTGCAGATTAGAAGAAATTTAGAAGACATATCAATATATTGTAGTGTATAGACATTATTTGGATTTGGGTTCAAACAAATTATATATAAATGATGATGGAAGATAACAGAATTGTAACACTGAATATTTGATGATATTAAAGCATTACTGGTAATTTTTCAGGCGAGATAATGGTATAGTGATAATGCTTTAAAAATAGTTAATATATATATATATATATATATATATATATATATATTCACAACTACTTATAAATGAAACTAATGATAGGAAGCCCTATCATTCAAATAATTCAAGAGGAAAGAATAGATGGGGCATGCATGGGGCAAGACTGGCCATGGGTTGGTGGCTGTTAGGTATGGGTAACAGACTCATGAGGTTTCATCATGAGGTTTTACTTTTGTGTATGTTTGAAATTCTCCATAGCAAAAATGCTAATAGAATGTAGCTTTTTAAAGTTAGCTCGTATATTTATTTGTTTTAATCCTTTGTTTGAGGGTTCCCTGGACATTCTTGTAGGTATCTGGGGACTCACCAGAGCATCTATGTTGGGAATATTGGCCTGTGAAGCAGAAGGTTTGGCAATTAGCACAAGTCAGAGCACAGCTATTCCATGACCGTGGTTTAGAAACCTTAAGCCAGTGGTTCTCAACCTTCCTAATGTCGCGACCTTTTAATACAGTTCCTCATGTTGTGGTGACCCCCAACCATAAAATTATTTTCATTGCTACTTCATAACTGTAATGTTGCTACTGTTATGAATCGTAATGTAAATATCTGATATGCAGGATGTATTTTCATTGTTACAAATTGAACATAATTAAAGCATAGTGACTAATCACAAAAACAATATGTAATTATATATGTGTTTTCGAATGGTCTTAGGCGACCCCTGTGAAAGGGTCGTTTGACCCCAAAGGGGTCGCGACCCACAGGTTGAGAACCACTGCCTTAAGCCATCTCCCAATGATTTCTGCCTGCTGGTGTTGCACCTCTATGTGATCCCCCTTCGTTTGGAGTGGGAGTGGGACCTGTGACTTGCTTCTGATGAGTCCAATCTGGCAAAGATGATAGCTGGCACTCCCATGATTATGTTACAGTGTACAACTTGGTGGTTGTGAAGAAGCAAGCTGCCAGAATGGGGCAAGATGGCTGTGGCCTAACAGAAGACTGCGTGCCCTTGATCACGGCCACCGGCTGGATTTACAGCTAAAATACTGTGCAGTCAGCTTGAAGAAAAAAAAACACACAAGAGAAGTGCAGCTGATTGGGCATATTGTATCTGAGGAGCACTGACGAAACAATGTGGAGAATGGTAAGAGAAGGGGAGTCGCCCAGAAAGGGCAAGCCCCCCTGGAGCTGGTGCTCAGCTGAGAGGCTGATATTGGCTGCAAAGCTCCCTCCCCTTGGGAGTGTGGGCTCACAATTCCACGCAGAGATCCCAAACCTGGAGCAGCAGAGACTGGAAAGAGAGCTCGTATGGCAGCGGGCAGAGGGAACCAGGGAAGCTCTGTCTGCCTAGGAGATTGGGCTAACCCTTCCCTTCGCAGTGAGAGAGCACACCTATTGTTAGCAGCCTGGGCCAGAGAGGGTCACCCTGGGCTCGGACTGCAGGAAAGGTTGCGCTGCAATGTTTGGCTCCAGAAATAAGGGGCCTGAGGGTTGTACCCAGCAGTGACTTTGATGGGCCCTCTGCTTTCCTGAAAGGCATTGTGCAGAGCCCTGGACAGTGACTAAACTGTGTGGCGTGGGGGAGGGGGAGTTGGTGGCAGGGCAGATTGGGGATTTTTGACTTGTGCTGTGGAGCGTTGGGGGCACAAGTAGAGCTGGGATTCTCGACACCCCCCCCCCCCCACTTTACTGAGACCAGCTGTGCAGAGAGATCTGAGTCCTGTGCGGGGCTGACTTTGTAACCCCTTCTGCTTGGACCTGTGGCACAAGGGTGCCAGGTCCTCACAGAGCAGGGATATTTGGATGGTATCCCCTGGGAAGGCTTCTATTGGGGAGATAGATGAGCAAGAGCTGGGCTTTGTGACTACATTGTGGGGAGGCTGATCAGAGCTCCCTGGAAGTTCAGCCAGTCAGTCCTGGGAAGGAGAGACAGAGCAACATGTCCTCCTCCTGCAGGCTTGGGAACATAACCCCCAACAGGAGATGGTTTGGATCAGCTCTCTGAAGCCCAAGATAGCCCCACTGGTGCAGTTCCGTGTGTGTGTGTGGGGCGGGGGGGGTCGGGAGAACAGCTCAGAGCAGGACATCCCAAGAGTGAGACCTTCAAAGGCTATTGTCTGGGACCAGGAGAAAATGCTTAAGCCCCTCCTGTGGACTGAGCTGGCAACATTGTCAACTAGAGACTCTTTTGATCAATCCCACTAAGCCCAGGGCAGCTGCAACTGCTCATGTGGAAAAGGGGGCAGGCTGTACCCAGCCTGAACCTGCACCAGGCCACCTTAGGGGGAACCGGAGTTGGAGTCTCTGGTAGAGACTGAGGAGTTCAGCTTTGAAGTAGAGACTAATTTCCCCTCAGAGTGCCTGACGGTGTAATCTCTAAGCAGAGGGCCCACTGGCCCTAGCTAGGCTAGCCTGGCTCCACTGAAAGACTGTCTTTGGAAGATACTGGAGGAAGACCAGGCAACCTCAGGGGGCAGGTGGAGTAGCTGACATGTGGAGGTGGACCTCAGAGAGCCACAGACTGACCACAGCTATAACAGGAAATCAGGAGCCAAATTTGGACAGCTCCTGACATTGGCTGACACAAAAATACCTCCCAGGAGGCCTGAGAGTAGCAGACAAAACAATCAGCCTCAGACAACATAATCTGCCTA